GGTTGTTGCAGCAGGGCGTCGAAGAGCACCAGCTGGCTTCTTCGCCACGCCATAGCCATCTTCGTCCTGAGACACCGATCAGCCGAGCGAAAGGGGAATGAGGGGCGGATGAAGAAGGGCAGCTTGGTGGATCATACCACAATAACATGTCTTTACGTCAAACAACACTGACACGATCACGCTGGCAACGAAGCAAACATCTTGAGACAATACTTGCAAAAGAAAAGACAACTGGTCCTCATCATCCACCTCCTCATCCGTGGGCTCCTGTTTGACATCCGTGGACGCCATGGCCCTCTGTACGCGTTCCTTCCAGTCCTCCACGTTGGCGGCCATGTCAGCCGCAGACTTCTTTTTTGGAGGCATGGCGCTACGCCGCGCCACAGCAGAGACACGTAAAGGTGAGCTTCAAGCAAGCGCACTGCACAACTTATCGAGCTGATACGGCATCAGTCGAAGCACGTGAGCGTCAAAGCGCACACGCATAATATATATTATACCGCAAATGTTGTGCAACATAAGCTCATGTTCTGTGAGTGTATGAGGTGATGATGATGTGCAAGACACCAAGCATTGCCAATTGTGTGTTGCAGTTTTGTTGAATTTTCAACAAAACTGCAACAAAACTGCAACTAGTGATTTGCAGTTTTGTTGAATTTTCAACAAAACCGAAACAAAACCGAAACAAAACCGAAACAAAACTGCAACACAGTGTTGTAGTTTTGTTGCAGTTTTGTTTCGGTTTTGTTTCGGTTTCGTTGTAGTTTCGTTGCAGTTTCGTTGCAGTTTTGTTGCAGTTTTGTGGGGCTGTAATGAAACGTTGGTAAAACCATTGGTTTTTTTAACTATTCCGCACCAGAGAGTTAAAGCCGAAACAAAACTGCAACAAAACTACAACAAAACTGCAACAAAACTGCAACGAAACCGAAACAAAACCGCAACAAAAATGCAACAAAACTGCAACAATGCGTTGCAGTTTTGTTTCGGTTTTGTTTCGGTTTTGTTTCAGTTTTGTTAAAAATTCAACAAAACTGCAAACGATTAGTTGCAGTTTTGTTGCAGTTTTGTTGAAATTTCAACAAAACTGCAACACCGATTTGGTAAGTATTGTGGATGTGCGGTGTGTTATCCTTCTATACTGTGCACCAACTGTTGAATTATATGATGCACCCAAGCTTTTGGCTGCAATGTATTCGACGCTGAAGTATGAATGAAATGTGCAGCTGCTATCCGAATACATACATATATATAGGAACATAACAAAAGAATGCCTGGGGGGATATGCGCATTCTACCTGCCAGAGTCCACATGCGCGTAACATATGCTTCCATTGCCACGGCATTTGCGCAAACCTGTGCACAGATTCACAACACCGATGGTGTGATGACTGATCGTTCCAAGGGGGCGTAGGCGGGCAAAGCATGGACGGGCTTCCCATCATTATGTCCTGTCTCCTGCTCCAGGACTGTCTCCTTATGTTTCCGAACAACATTCCAACTATCCGTATGCTGACAATAATGTCACTCCAACCACCTGCTCATGTATCTCATTCGTTGCTCATGTCATTCCTTTGCTTATGTTATGCAACTTCTTACATCTCACATACCAGATCTTATATCATATCCGATTTAGTTTATCTTACATCCGCCCCTACCTCCCGCCCCTGCTTCTTACATCATAACAGCCCACGCCATCATATGATCCTTGCACCGATTATCTCCGCTACTACGCCCCTCATCCCCCCCCCCCCCCCCCCCCCCCCCCCCCCCTCCCCCCAAAGGGAGTGGAGGCAGGGAAGGGAGGAAGGGTAGCGAGGAAGGAAGGGGCCTTCACCTTTCACGCAGGCGCCGCACGCCCAGCACGCATCCTGTCGAGTGGCGTCGCACGCCCACACCGCAAGACACTAAAACAGTATATCATTTCACCGAAACGGGCCGTGCTGCGCAAGCTTCTCTTCAAACGTCTGCGTGTCAATGCCCACATGATGGGGAGTGAGCGACTCATCAGCATCCTCATCGTACAGCTCCTCAGGCAACGCAAGGGAACCAGGAGTGAAGGGCCTCTTACAAAAGCAATCCTGACACTCGCGAGTGTAGCACTGCCAAAGGCCACCGTCGCTGGTACCGCTCTCCCAGCGGTGGCGGAACTCCTGGAGATCGCTCCGTTCTTCATTACACATTATATATATACATATATGTACGTATATATATATCATATGTACATATTATATATACATGCATATATAATATATACATGAATATATATATATATATATATATATATATACGTGTACATGTATGTACATACATATATATGTGTTGAAAATAAATGATAGTATGTAAATATAGTATGTACATTATATGTACATATATATGTACATACTACATATACATATATATATATATATGTACATATATATATATATGTACACATATATATATCGATGTACACATATGTACATATATCACACATATATATGTGTACATATATATGTACATATAAATAAAAAAAGGCGCCTGTACCTCCGTGGCCGTCTTCATATCAGTTAGAAGACGTGGTCGTTTTGCTGGAGCCGGCGTCGTTGATGAAGTCGCCGACGAAGCAATATCGCGCCTGCAGCGCGGCGGGTGGATGGGGGGAGGGCAGGGCATTGATGCGCGGCAGGTAAGGGGAGGAGGGGCGGTGATAAAAGGGGAGGGGGGGGGGGGGGGGGGGGGGGCGAGAGGGGAAGGGCTGATGAAGGAGAAGGGAAGGGGAGGAAGAGAACGGAGGGAAGGTGGAGGAGCAGGAAAGGAGTAGGGACAGGGATGTCCCTCTACTTATCTTCAGGGTAGCTTGTCGGGCATCCAATGTATCTTCAAATGTATTCTGGTCATCGTCAGGGTATCTTCAAGGGTATCGTCAGGGTATCTTCAGGGTATCTTCAAGTGCCACGAGCTTCGGGAACGGGGGGGGGGGACTCAAAGCAATTCCACCAGAGAACTCGCGCCTGTCAGGCGTCTGCTCGATTTTCTCCTCCAGCTTGTCGCACTTCTCCCGCGCGAAGTCCAGCTGGAGATTGTTTCGCTGGGGCAGTTTGGGGCTGACGAGAAATGAGCGGGGATAACAGAGCAGGGCAAGCGGAATAATGACACCAGAATGAGGAGACTGAGCGTAGGGGGAGGATGAGGGAAGATATGGGAAGGAGGAATTATGCGAGAGGAATGCGATTGGTTCCTGTGCCGTCGGGTACACGTGATCCTCTTTCCCCTTCCTCCACCGTCGTCTCTTCCCTCTGCCGTGCTTCCCCGCCACTCCTGCGAGACACTGCGGTTCTGAGCTGATGTTGTTATAAAAAGAACGTGTCCTGCATCGGGCGGCTCGCATACGAGATATCAGTAATCTGCGTGCTGAAGATCTGAATGAACCTGCTGGCCTCGGCGCCCGTACCGAACCTCGCAAGCACCATCATGCCCACGAGCTGGTTCTTTTTGAAGATGTCCTTGGGATAGCAGCCTCTGGATTCGAAGAGCGCCCTCCCCTCCCTCCCCTGCGCGGTGACGGATGCAGCTGCGAGTCCCTGGAGCGGGAGGGAGCGCAAAGGTCACAGATGCGAATATGGGCACGCACGGGCGAAATGGAGGGAGGATGCAGGAGGGGGGCGGATGTGAGCAAGTTTGTGGAGGGGTCATTGGCCTTCGGTCGCCCTCCCGCCCTCCCCCGCCCTCCTCATGCATCCCCGACGCCTCCTACTCCAGCTCCCTTCCTCACATGCCCATCTCCCCTCCTCCATTCTCTTTCTCTTCTGGTGCAATAACGTGACGCACTGAATCTAAACAAGGTGCCTGTGCAGGAAAGGGGCCACTTGTATGCAACACCACGCAGATAAATGCGCATGTGGTCGTGGCAACGCAAGGCACAGGCGATGTCCGCAGGTCGGTCTTCGAGACGCCCTGCTGGATATTGCGCACTCTAACGCAGAGCGGGTCATGGCCGCCGGGGCACTTGATCTCGCTCATGAGCAGCAGGAAGTAAATACAATACACTGCAAACGCAAGAACTACCCTGGCAACACCTCGAACCAAGCTGGTACGGACACCGTAGGCGGTACGTGGTGGCGGGGTGTGGGCTTGTTGCGAGGTCTCTCACCCTCGAGTGCCCCTCACCCCTCATCCTCCACCCTCCAAGGAAACCATTAAGAACTTACACGGGCAGCTCGGACGAGAGGAAGAGGAGGAGGGGTGGGCGCTACCTTTAAGGAAGACCTAGGGGATACACTTACGTCGCAACCAGCCATGGCTGATGCCACATTTGACGAGAGATAGTGGGCGAGAGAGAGAGAGAGGGAAGGCTGCGACCTTTATGGGGGGCAGGGATGCGAGGGTACCTTGAAGGAATACATTCCTGTTGTATTGAGGCGAACCCCTACCTGTAGGGGGGCAGGGATGCGAGGGCACCTTGAAGGAATACCTTCCAAGTGCACATCCATCACGCGATACCTGCAACGAGTCCTCTCATGAGTCTCACCGAGGCAGGGGGCGGCGGCGATTCGCCGTAGGCGTCGTCGAGGCTATGTGGGGGAGAGCGCACTGAAAGAAATCTGCTCCTTTTCTGAGGCAAACCCCAGCCTGAGACAATGCAACGCAATCCGCACCCGCTCGGCCTTAGCCGATTCTCTGCTTTGGCCGCCGTGCACGCGGCCGATAACAAATGTCCGTGCATCGCAGCCCAACTCGCAGAGCGGGCACCCAGTGCGATATCATCAAATATCGCTTTCCCTACTCTGAAGCTGGAGGCGCAGACGGTCCCTGATCCGTTTCCCGTTTCCCCAGTCCTCCCCTGACCCTAAGTCTTCCCCATCCTCATCCCCCTCCTCGTCCTGATCCTCTTGCACACGATTCCCCCTCATCATCCACATCCACATCCACATCATTCTCCTCCTCCTCCTTCTCCTCCTCCCTCCTCCCTCCTCCTCCACACGAGCACGCATGCGTCTAAACACATGCTGCCTCCGCGCACTCTCACGGCGTCAAGTCGCGCACGGCTTTCGCGCCTGCAGCGCGGGCCGCCTTGAGGGCCTTCTCAGCCGAAAGACCTTTGTCCAGGGCATCCTTGCGGGCGCGATAGTAGGCCCTGCTGTGAATGCACTTAGGCGTCATCTTAACCTCAGGCGCAACCTTCTTGCTCTTGGGGGTCTCCTTGCGGCCGCTCTTGGGGGTTGCGGCCGCCTTGGCCCCCTTGGGCCCCTTGGGCTTAGAGGGGGTAGCTGACCCCTTCCCCGCCTGCGAACTGCCAGCCCCTCCCTTGTACTGCGTCTTGGCGTTGACCGAGCCCACGCCCCTCGCCATCTTCATGAGGTCATTCATATCCCCACTGGAGCTGCTCATCCACACGGGCACTGCAGGGAGGGGCGCCACCCTATGTCAGTCTTTCTGCTCCATTTCGATCTCCTCACTAACAACCCCCTTCGTAAGAAAACTCACCATCCTCCCGTCTCCCTTCCCCCCCTAGCTCCCGCTCCTTATCCCTCTCTCTCTCTCTTTCTCCCTCTCTCTCTTTCCCTCCCCCTCTCTCTATCCTAGGGGGTGCCCCGATAGGGCTTCAAGTGAGACCGTATTCTTGGCCTCGCTGTAAACCTTATGGGGGTATCTGTACTAGGGGCCCCACAGGGATGCATTAGACAATTCGTCACATGGGGCAGTACGTGAAAAGCACGCATGCGATGCATTAGACAATACCTCAAGCGTGACATGTACGGACGCACACAGCAATCAAACGAGAAACACAAACCTGGGGACGATGCACTCATAGCAACCACGGCGTTGGTCACCTCCCTGTGGCCCTTGAGGATCTCTTTGATGAACGAGTTGTCAACTGGCGGAGGGGCGCACGGGGAGCTGGAGGTGGAGAAGGGGGGGGGGGAGGAGGAGGCGGAGGAGGAAATGAGGAAGGTAACGAGGAGGAAGGGAGGGGGACAGACAGACGAAAGGAGGAGGGAATGAGGAAAGGAGGATGAGGAGGATGAGGAAACAAGGGTGAAAGGGGGAGGAACGGAGGAGGAAGGGAGGACCAGGAGAAGGAGGCAGGCGGAGGAGGAGGAGGAATAGGACAGCCCAAGGATGAGGGTTTACATTGCCAGGTGGACCAGCAGCAGGGTGAGGAGGAGGGCCGAGCATAGGGAGGGCCACACTTCGCCTCCTCCTCCTCCTCCTCCTCCTCCTCACTCTTACTTCTGATCATTCGTACCATCATCATCGTCCTCGTCATCATCCTGCTCGATTATACATGCGCTGCTTCACTATCCCGTGCGAACCTGGCACCGCGTCGACCTCGCCGCCAGCGAGGGCGAGGGGCACCAAAGTGTCGCGGGGCACCTCTCCGCTCGCACGCTCGCCCGTCCCATCGGGATCCGCGCCCTCGCCCTCGGGGTTCTCCAAGGTAGCGCGCCAGGTCCCAGGAGGAGCCGCGGCCTCAGGCGAGGCGTACTTGACTCAAAGATAGCTTGACTATGCAGCAGGACACTGTGGTGGACCCGAGAGAGGATATAAAGCGACAACGTGTTGGGCCTAATGAGTCAACGTGGTGGGCCTGACGGTAACTTTAAGATACAACCATATACCATGCTGCTAAACGCGATGTGGGAGAGATGCGGAGGATGGGGGCGAGGAAGAGGAGGAGGAAGAGTGGGGAATGATGAGCAGGGGGAGGAGGTGGAAGATAAGGAGGAGGAGGAGGAGGAGGAATACGATGATAAGGAGGAAACAGCAAGCGGACACTGATGAGGAGAAACCGACGCAGATGAGGAGGAGGGACGGGAAATGAACCAAAAAAAAAAAAAAAAAAAAAAAGCAAACGCAGAAACCAGCGTAGAGTACAGCGGGGCCTGCGGCGTGCTCGGGGCATAAGTGTTGCCGTCCACGAGGTCGAAGAGCTCGCGCAGCACCTCGTCCTCTCTTGGCGACGCCTCCCCTCCCGATCCAAGGAAGGGAGCGGAACGGTGGAGGAGTGTGGATGTGCGAGGAGATGGGGCAAAGAGGAAGCGTGGCAGCTGGGAAGTCCACCATCTTTCCCCATCATCCTCCTCGTCCCCCCAATCTTCCCCCCCCCATCCTCCTCCTCATCTTCTTTGTCCATCCTCCTCCCTCCTCCTCATCCTATTCCTCATCCTCATCCTCGTCGTCCCCATCCTCATCATCATCATCATCATCATTACCATCACCACCATCATTGTTAACGTCACTACCGATCGCTACGAACATCATCGTCAACGCCATCGTCAGCATTAACATCATCATCGATAACGTCATCATCATGATCATCATCAATATCAGCATCACCATCGTTGACATCATCATCATCATCACCATCGTTCTCGTCATCATCATCATCATCATCATCACCATCCTAATATTCATCCTCACCCTCATCATCACCATCGTCGTCGTCATCATCAGCAGCAGCATCGTCCTTATCATCAAACTCATCCCCGCCCCACCCTGCTCAGCATGCGCACCATGCCCTGCGTGTCCTTCTTGATGTCGCGCAGCTTGGACACGCAGGCCCTCCCCTGTCCATCTGACCAGACACTCACATACCGCAATCCCTCCACAATCGAACTCATCGCCGTCCTCTGATTCCTCCCTCCCCCTTTTCAGGTGTTCCTCTTCCTCATCATCATCATCATCATCATCCTCCCTCGTCCTCCTCCGCCTCCACCCTCGTCCTCCTCGTCCCCCTCCTCCCCCTTCCCTTCCCCTTCCCTCCTCCTCCTGCTCTCTCAATCCCCTCTCCCCCCACCCATCGCGATGCTGACTGCGACGACCCCAGACTCCAATCCTGATGTACCAGCCAGCGTTCGAGCAGGTCTGCAGATGATCCTTGGAGTCACCAGCGCTCATGATGATCTCCTGGTCATTGTATAACTTCTCAATGGCAGTGGAGAACTTCTTCGGGGGGAGGACACAGTTGGGCGCCACCTCTCCACAGGCCAAGGAGGGAGGCCGAGGAGTACAGAGGATGATGATGAAGATGGTGATGATGATGAAGATGATGAAGATGAAGATGAACATGATGCTGCTGAAGATGAAGATGATGATGATGATGATGATCACGATAATGACGATGATGAAGATGATGGTGACGATGGTGACGTTGATGACGATGATGACGATGATGAATATTATGACGATGATGATGATGATCATGATGATGATGATGGCGATGACGAATATGATGACGATGATGATGATGATGATGACGATGATGAAGATGATGATGACGATGATGCTGTTGAAGATGAAGAAGATGATGATGATGATGATGCTGATGATGATGATGATGATGATGACGATGCTGATGAAGATGATGATGACGATGATGAACATGGTGATGAGGGTGATGATGATGATGATGATGATGATGATTCTCCCCTCTCTCCTCTTCCTCCCCCACCATCCCCTTTGATCCTCTGGCAGGCCGGAGAGCCAGGTACATTCTCCTCCTGCCCCTCCTCTTCCCTCCTCTCCTCTCCTCGTCCTCCTCCTCCCCCTCCTTTCATCCCTCCTGCACCTCCTCATCCTCCTCCGAATCCTCCTCCCTCCTCCTCCTCCTCATCTTCCCCTGCCATCGCGGCTCCGCGCGCCTTCACAAGCTCCTTGAAGAGATCCGCGAAGTGCGCGATGATCGTTGCCGTGGGCGTGGACCTATGAGTGCGGGGAGGAGCGAGGGTTAGTTAACTCATGCATGGTCAAGTTCGCAAATAGTTAATATGTTTCGGATTCCTAATCCTACTCCCAATGCCGTTTCTACTTCTACTCCTACCCCTATTCATACTCCTAACACTATACCAATGCTCATATGTTTAACTATTACTACCGCACTTGTTCATATTCCGACTTCTACTGCTACGACTACGGTTATGACTACTACTATTTCTACCACTACGACGGCTCCTACGAATGCCAGGACACCAATTATTACTACGAGAACACCCACTAAGGATACGAATGGCTTCTGGCTGCGTCTACCACTGTTAATAGTAACGTTTACTACTAGTTATTACACATATGTTATGAATACTAGTAATATTACTTCTAGCCATACGACGACTACTACACGTACCACTGATACTACTACGACTACTTTTACCACGGCTACGACATAACCCCTTCACCAGTCAATTCGTTTGATTGCTATTACACAAGGAAATCTATTTGCAGTAGTATAATTTACGTTGGGATTTACAACTTCCCTAATGATCGTACAAGTACTCTTACCAGCAACTACTTAACGATGCAAGCAAGTAGTTCATTCTACATCTGTTACTCTTAATAACGCCACTAAGTGGACTATCGCTCACTACCTAACTGTCCCAGGAGCTGCCTACACACGTATAGTCACATACATAAGGTAACCACGTTGCGATATAACTACCGAGCAGCCCACACATAGCATCCACTGGCTAACCAACCAACTGTCAAGCAACTGCCTTACGAATAAGCAACCATATAACTAAGTATCCGACTACATGGCTAAGCAACTCCCTAACGAGATAACTAAGTAACCAAATAACTCAATAACCGATTATCTAACGTCATGCCTACCCAACTAGCAAGTAACCGACCACCTAACTAAGAAGTCACCGGCTACGTAACTCTCCAACTAAGTAGCTCTCATAACCGACTACCTAACTACTGAACTACCTAACTACACAACTGAGTAACATACTAATGAAGTAACTACCTTAGTAAGTAACCGATCGCATTAACTAACTCACAACTAAATAGGCGGGGGCGACCTGTGCGCCGTTAGCTCCGCGAGCGGGCGGATCACGCCCATGAGGTCACGTGTGTTCCTCCCCGCGCGAGTCGTCGTCGTCGTCGCTGTCGTCGTCATCCTCTTCATCATCTTCATCGTCCTCCTCCTCCTCCCCCTCCTCCTGTCATCACTCATCATACTGCCCGTCCCACCCCGCCGTGATTTAAGCCAAGATAGAATTGCGCTGTAGAGCTCGGACACGCTGATGTCCTGGTCTGGACGTGCCCGCACGCTGCGCGGCGTCGCTGCCATCGCGGTGGGACGGGTGAGGGGATGGAGCGGGGCGTGCCCAGTGCAATTTTGCGGCGGAGTACGGGGCGAGGGAGGAGGATGCGGAGGATGATGAGGAGGAGGAGGAGGAGGAGGAGGAGGACGAGGAGGGGGACCCGAGTAAACCGTATACAACGACGGCGACGGCGACGGCCACGGCCACGGCGACGGCGACGACGACGACGACGACGACGACGACGGCGACGGCGACGACGACGACGACGACGACGACGACGACGGACGCCGCAAAGGTGCACATGGACATGCCCGCGCCACCCTGGGACCCCTAAGTAGCTAGAGCCCCTTAGCCAAAATGGCGCCTACCGCTACCTCATCCTCCGCCTGCTCGTCATCCTCCTAGACCCCGCGACCAACACCCTATTCATTACAACCGCTACCAGCATCATTAAGATAAGCATCGGCATCATAACCGTCGTCATCAGCAACATCATCATCATGGCCACCATCATCATCATCAGCATCATCATCGTCGTCTTCGTCGTCGTCGTCACCACCGTGCACATACTCACCGCCAGCATCATCAACCGAGACACCATCGTCATCATCATCCTCATTCCCACCATCCTCCTCATGATTACCCTCATCGTCCTCGTCCTTCGCATCCCCATCCTTCCCCTCCTCATCCTTTTCCTCGTCGTCCTCATCGTCCCCATCCAGGCGAAGTGGGGGGGTGGCAAAGGATAGGGGAGAGAGCAATGGACGAGGCAAGCTGAATAAGGAGGGAGGGGAGTGGGGAGATAGGCAAGCGAATGTTCGCTTGCACCACATCTGACGCCAACCCCCCTGCCTGCGAGCACCACAATGGTTCTGTTATGTAGATCACCAAAGTTGTCCTTTTTAGTGGGCTGGTATAAGCTGAGCATATGAATATACAACACAACTGCAACACAACTGCAACAACACCGCAACTGATCTGCTGCAACACGGCAACACATATGTTGTAGTTGTGCTGCAGAGTACATAAAATCTGCAACGAAACTGCAACGCAACTACAACTAAACTACAACAAAACTGCAACAAAACTACAACAAAACTGCAACGCATGTGTTGCAGTTTTGTTGTAGATTTACAAAACTGCAGCAAAACCGCAACAAAACTGCAACAAAACTGCAACACACATGTTGCAGTTTTGTTGCAGTTTTTAAAAAACTGCAACAAAACTGCAACAAAACTGCAACACACACAACCTAAACATCGAAATTCATATGTGCAAAATCAACGAAAAAAGTTATCGAAAATGTTAAGTTTTTTCGCTGCAAATGATAACTTTTCTTTGCGCCAACGTTAACTTTCCAAAGCTGTTAAAACAAAAAGTTAACAACTTTTTGAAAAGTTATTAACTTTCCGGAAAGTTGATAACTTTTTATAAAGTTAACAAAGATAAAAAAGATAACTTGACTGATCTATAGGGTACCTCCTCCTCCTCCTCCTCCTCCTGCTCCCCCTCCTCCTCTTCCTCCTCCTCCTCCTCCAATTTGGACGCCCGAAATGGGTACGGAAGAAATGGGTACAATGCCCAACAGCAAGTGCTGTCCCAGAGCAACAGCGGCCGCTGTTGGGCAGGCGGCCTTCTGTCTCGAATGCACACGAGCCGCATGGCGCGAACAGCGAGCCCGGTTCAAAATGAACAAGAACTGCTGTTGGGCAGTGTACCCATTCTTTCCGTGCCCATTTCGTTCGTGCAGACTGCAGTTACACGTCGGTCGGAAGAAGCAGGTAGAGACATGAAGTAGGAAGGCGGATATAGTGGATTGGGTCCAGGTCCTCCCAGAGACTAACAGAACACAGAAGCAGCATGTCGATTCTGGAAGTAGGACGGCGCTTGAAGTACATGGGAATCTGGGAATCCAAAAATACCTACTTTCAACGACCGGCGTGTACTCCAAATCCCTCATGCATCGTTCCCCCCTCTAAAAAACAGGACCCCCCCTCCAAATGCGACCTGACATTCTGGACCCCCCTCTTCGACGGGGCGCCTAAAAAAGCTGGACCCCCTGAGCTCCAATCCAGAGAAAGCGCCCTAATAAACCGGACCCCCCCAATTACAAAAAGCTCGCCTTAAAAAACCGGACACGGGGGACGATTAATAAGGGATGTGGAGCATGCTGCTCCCATCGTACTGACGGACCACCTCCCAGAAATAGGTTCGAGCACCCAGTAAAGCGTCGAAACAGTGTGGAACGAGCATCGCCTCCCAGGGCCCGGCAGGTGAACACCATCAGATTTCGGTACTTTCTTGGTGGCCGAAGTTCGTCCTGGAGATCAAGGCCAAAGCAGGGTGGAACATCGCAACCCTGCAGGCGGACGTTGGAGGACAAGCGTGTCAAACAGTCACACAGCAGAAATGCTCCACAACAGCTCAGTCATCATGGAGAAGCCGTCCCCGGACCATTGTGTTCACCATCCTGGGACCTGCCTCCTGCAGAGGGGCACGCCCGACTTAGCACGAGGGTGCGCGGCGCGGGCCGCGCGGGCCCGGCCCCGGCGGGACTCTGGCCCGGGGGACTGCGGGCGGGGAGGGAGGAGGGATCGAAGGAGGGATCGAAGGAGAGGAGAGGGGCCGCGAGAAATCCAGGGAGAGGAGAGGGGGGTAAAACGGGATAGACGGATCGAGGGATCGAAGGGGGGGGCGGGCCACGCGGGATCGAAGGAGAGGAGAGAAGGGTACGATGCCTGATCCCGGGCCATGCGGTCTGGGATCAGGCGGGCGAGGGCCAGAAGCGGAGGAGGAGATGGACAGTGAGGAGGAAGGGGAGGAGAGAGGACCCGTGTAAACCCAAGAGCCACTGCTGATGTTGCAATAAACTTTGCCCCACAATTCCCTCTTCATAGGTCCCTACAAGAATTGATGGTCATTGCGGGATGTGTCCCATCGGAAGACAACCGTCTGAGAATCCGAAACGGTACCCCAAACACGATCGATGGGACTTCAACACCGCGAAGCAACATGACTCTTGCGTGCTGACACTCCTAGACCGTGTCAGAACCCAATTCCTAAAAATTCCACCAGCTCCTTTAGCTAAGGTGGTCTAGCGATATTGTTATTTCATATTCCAAAGCCCTTCTTCCCTTCAAAAACGCGGTACCCTCCTCCTCCACGTCCTGAGGATGTTTGTGGCGGGTCGCGATGTGCTTGAGGGTCAAATGTCGCTCAAGATGGCTTGAATAGGGCGTCCGACGCACCAAGATGGCCTCCAAGAAGGATCAAGATAGCTCAAGATGACTTCCGATATACATCCAAAGCGGCCGACGAGGTCCACAAGACAGTTCCAAGTTCAGGCGGAGCGCCCTCAGGACCCCCCCTAAGATGCCAACACCCTCCAAACAACTAAGGGAAGTCAATGAGTGTTGCCGCCTCACCTTTTCGCCTCCCATGCGCGTTTGAGGCACCATGATTGCCCCAAGAAGGCCCAAGAGAGGCCTGAGAGGGGCCCAAGCGGCCCCCCAGGCAGCCCCAAGAGCGCTCAAGAGCGGCCCAAGAGGGCCCCGAGAGGCGATGCTGATGGCCCCAGGAGGGGGACGCGGAAATCGGGGACCCCGCCTCCGTTTTGATCGACGCCCTGCACGACGGCCCCACGAGGCCTTTTCTACAGCGCTCCCAGGAGGGCCCCACCAAAGAAGGCCCCAAGACGGCACCAAGAGCGCCCAGGAGCGCCCGGAGGAGGAGGAGAAGGAGGAGGAGGAGGAGGAGGAGACCAGGGCCCCAAAAGGCGGGCTGTTGCCTCCTGGCTCCTCCGCATCCCATCGCCCCCACTCGCGGGTCCCCTCGCTCCCCCCACGGGCCCCAGGGTTGGCTGAAGAGGCCCACCAAAGATTGTTGAACTTTTTTTTCGGCGTTTCGACATCGGGCGGAAGGAGGGGGGAGGGGGGGGACTGGCTTCGGACCTCTGCTTAGCGCGAATGTTTGCAACAACGTGTCCGATGGGGGAGGAACTCCACCTGCTCGAAACAGGCGCCAAAAACAACCAAGACCTACTCCATGGAGGGGGAGGGGGGGTGGTGCGAGGGCCCGCGCCGATCTGCAAAAGAATGAATAAGAAACGATCACTTGTTTATCCTGGTTGCCCGCTCTGTTTCACTACATGTGCCTTGTCGTCCCCTTTCCCGCCAGCTCCCATGGGCAACAATTCTGAACAGGCGGATAGGGATGCGCGAAGCGTGGAACATTCAGCACCACAGGTGACGGATCCTCGGTGCGCGGCGCCCAGGCGAGATCCACAGTCTGAAACCGGCCCACCATCCATCCCTGAAATGGCTGCAAAACCTTTTTTTATAGATACAAAAAAACATGTGCGCGGAGCTAACGCGAGAACCACACTCTGAAGAGCAGCCGCCCTCCGCCCGTAGAGCTGATGTGCGAACTGTGAAGACGGATGCGCGCGGCGCTGGAGCGAGAGCCACAGCTTGAAAACCAGCCGCCCTCGATCATCAGTGAAGCTGTTCAAACTTCAGCCGTCAAGACCACGGCGGGGAAATCTCGGGCGAAACGCCCCAGCCCGGCCTACCGACGATTCGAGGGGTGCGACAGGGAGGGGTGATTCACAAGGACAAGAGATGGAGAGAGGAATGATTAGCAGGAGGTGGGGGGAGGAGGAGGAGGGGGATCTGTGCTCATCGGAAGGCCGAGGCTGTGGCAGGGGATTGCATCTGGAAGTCTGGTAAGGGAGCACACGCCACGGCAGCGCCAGCAACTCCCCGACACCAGGTACCGCCACCCCACGCGGACCAAACCTTGGCATGAAAGGGAGCATGGAAGGAGGAGGAGGAGGAGAAGAGGAGGAGGAGGAGGAGGAGGGAGATTGAGGAGGAGGACGAGGAAATAAGACGACGATCAGGACGAGGGGGCTCGACACTAATCCGCATCCACCACCGTGGACCCTGGCAAGTTGAATCGTCGCAGAATGCCAAGTGCTGTCTGGTAGGGCGGGTTGCTATACTCTTCTCTCAAGGCCCCCCTTCCCCACCGAGCCACGCCCAGCCACATGCATCGCCCCCCTCCCACCCCCTCCGCCCCCCTACAAACACAGGACCCACGTTCCCGCTGCCACGATCCCTCAGACAGAATTGTGCGCCCACGCTCCCCAGGCCACGATCAGTTGGACATAACGATGAACGATGGGTGGCATTCCCGAAGCAATGATCCCTCGTACAAGCCACGCTCCAGGGCTTTCAGGATGGCCGTGGCACCATCGCCGCCCTCCTCGCCATTGCCGTTCTCCGCGTCCCCTCCCCCTCCGCCTCCGCCTGCCCCTCCTCCTTCCCCCTTTCCTCCTCCTCCGCCTGCCCTTCCTCCGCCTCCGCCTGCCCCTCCTCCTCCTCCTCCTCCTCCTCCTCCTCCTCCTCCTTCCCCCCTTTCCCCCTCCTCCTCCTCCGCCTCCGCCTGCCCCTCCTCCTTCCTCCTTCCTCCTCCGGCAGGGGGTGCAGACGGAGACGCACGCCTCGCAGCCGACTTGCTCGTTCACGCAGCACCACTCCTGCGCAGCGCGGCGAAGAGCAGGAGGGGCAGGAGGATCGGGGAGAGCGTGGCGAGGAGGACCAGGA